ATTTAAGTAAAACTTATTCTTTGCATCTTATCCTTATTTAGAAGACCACACACGTGTAGATGTAGAAAAAGTTATGTGTGTCTAGACCTTTATCCAGGCTAAAAATAGCATTCAGTATTGAAAGTTAACCTGTGTCCTTCATGTATAAGACACAGGTAACTTTTTTTAGACCAAATTTAGGAAAAAAAAGTGCGTCTGATATGCCGTCAAATATGGAACTTGAAACAATGTTGGAATTTTTAATATCCCTAAGAAATTGATAATCCTTACAAGGATGACTCTTAAAAAACTGATATGTATAGTAAAAAAATTTCAACATATCTTTCAGAACCTTTTTATACTGAGAAAGTATTAAGACACGGAGAGTCACTATCTTGCCTGTTGTTTAATATAGCTTTAGAAAAGGCCATAAGAAAATGCTTATCTAGAAAGAAATGCTTATTTAGAATCCTTGATCAATGGAACCCACTTCTTGCATTTTTTAAAGAAGAAGTAAATGCTTCGAGAGTTAAGATAAAAGGCTCTATTGAAAGTTATAAAATACCTAAAGTAAATGGAGATGTATAGTTACTACTTCCATTGTTAAAAATAGGTTTGAGAAAAATAAATTAATTTTTGCACCATTCAGCAATTCAACTGGCAGTTCTCAAGATAATACTGCAAAATATAAGTGTAAAGCTGATACAAATTTCTCTAAAAATAAAAAATTGCTCAACACACGAAATATTTTCCATTTGCTGTAAGTTTATCTTGTGAAGAACGAATATTTAATTTTTTGGGGGGACCTTAAAAAAGCTTTTTTTTTTTTTTTTTTTTTTTTTTTTTTTTTTTTTTTTTTTTTAACAATTCATTTTGCCATCATTCGATGCTCTTAACAGAGTTCTACAAAGCAGAATTCCATTAATTCATGTTTTGCAATCAATGATTTATGATCTGTTTAAAGACATTTTATCAATGTTTGTAAAACCAGTCTGTGTTTTGTCTTGTAATTCTATATATGATGTGATTTATGGCGGAATAGAAAATAAGAAGAAAGATGAAGATTTGGTAATAGGAGCTACAATTACAAAAGTAGTGGAAGAACTTTCAGAAGAAGACAAAATTAAGTTTTATCTTCATGTTAGAAGTTACTTCTGTCGAGTATGTGATTACATACTACATAAATTTCCAGTCAACGATGAAGTGATTTTGCATGCTAAAGTTGCTACAGTCAATAAAAGTCGAGTGCGCCATCCATGTAAGGGAGAAATTCGTCCGTGAAAACCACAAATTACCGATTAGAAAATGTGAGATCGCAAATCACTTGCACAAGTGCCTACAATCTGGAAATCATTTTCTTACAAATCGCTAATTTGTAATTTTTTAAGCCTGAATTCTGCCCTAAAACATGAAGATACCGATTCAAAACACTTTTAATCGATTTGGGCCAAAGAAATCCCTCATGTTATCTACCTAGTTCCATTGCATTCTCCTACTGCACTCCATTGCATAGCAGTCATTCCACACCGTTTGGAGTGGAATGACAGCTAGTTTCATAACTGAACCATTTTTCTCTGAAGAGCAGTCGACAGCGGGACCACTGTGATTGCAGCTCGCTTAGAGTCAATGATAAAATGTTTAAATGCATCTTTTTCTGATATAAGGTATTTTTTGAACAGATTTCCTGTGTTACTTCATTTAGTCATGAAAGATGATGATATTGATGTTGCCACTGATAATACTGCAGTCGCCGTTTTGCAGTTCACAATTAGAAAACATGGATGAAGTTATAAAATCAGCTAGGATTGACACCTAGTAGAGTTTAATTGGAAAACTGAAAGATGCTGATGGAATTTTTAAATATAGTGAACTGTCTAGAATTATGTTGGCCATCTTGATAGTTACCCATAGTAATACAGAGTGTGAGAGGATTTTCAGTGTTGTTGCGAAAAAGAGGACTAAATTTAGATCTAATATTAGTGATGACACATTAGAAAAACTTTTATTAGTGAAAGCAGGCCTATGTGGCAATTGCTATAAACAAAATCATGAAGTTTTATTCTTAACAAAACCAAAATCTGCCACTGTTCATAACATTTCTACGAAAACTGATTAAAGTGTCTTTTTTGTTGTTGTTTTCTTAAACGATGCGAGTAATAAAAATGTTTTTTATATGTAAGGTATTTTTGTGTTGCTTGCATTTAAGAATTAGTAACTATTTAAAGTTAATTCATTATTAAGAACTATAGTTTTATGATTTGAAAAGTCTTTTTAACATTGTGAAAAATCTCCTGATTTTTAAGTGTCATGTTGGCAAGTATGTTATCAACTTTTGAAAGAATGGCAAGTCAGACATGTAATAATAGACCTGTAATAGTTGTAATTATTGGTGCTTCAAATTGCTCATTGTCTGCCACTCATATCCATTTTTGATGAAATTATGTTTGTAGTACTTTTTCACCCTTATAAATGGCATGCAGTTTTCCATGCACAATTGTCATTTTACTATTAATTTCAGTTCCACTTACTCCTTCCATTATCATAAACTGCATTTTGGTTGTCAGGGTTCATCTTTTGATGCATCCATTTTTTAATTCTTGTTATGAAATGGTGCGGATAGAGGGGTTTTTTTCCCTTTTCAATTATTGCGTGTAATGTCTGTCTTTAGCAGCACATGCCTGTACTCATTATTTTCCTTATAACTATGATTGGTTACCTAGCAGTCAGCATTAATTCTTGCTATAAATGCCATATACAGTCAAAAGTCTTTAATCCGGACGTCCATAATCCGGACCTCAAAGCTACAAACTTTCTGCACATGCATAAATGCATAATGCGTTTACGCGTGTGCATAATACCTTTACACATGCGCATATGTGTTTACGCATGCACATAATACGTTTACGCATGCACGTTTAATTTATGACGGACGGTATAAGCTAAGCTCTAATTATGTAATTTCAGTTAATGTTGCAGATTGTGTCGTTTCTTAATCTTCGAATTGGATCCGGCTTATTATTTTTTGCAGACTGTTAGAGCAATTTTATAATTTCGATTATGTCAAAAAGAATTTCCGTTTCTGGAGCTGCCAAAGGATCTACAAAGTGAAAGCATGTTTCGATTTCCATCAAACAAAAAGTGGAATTGCTACAAAAAATGGATAAAGGCATATCCTTTGATTCTCTAATCATTCTGAAATACGTTTATCAATTCCCCGCTGCTCTGCGAGGGAGATGGGGACGACTGGCGCGCAACGAACAGGAATTTGATCTGTCAGCACTATCCTTAGCTTCAGGGCAGATGTTTGTATGTTATTTGGCTTATAATTCCTTACTAAATGTAGTATTTCACCTCAATGTACTCCGTCTTTGATATGATTTAATTCAAATTCCTCGTCATTATAAATATCACGAATACACATCAAATAGTTTTCTGGTTGCAATTTTCTAATTTCAACTATGCGTAATGTATGCTTTACGCATGCGCGCGTTGAAAGAAATGTTTAATAAAGTAAACAAATAAATATAAGGTGTTTTTTTTTTTTTTTTTTTTTTTTTGTAAATTTTGATACCTTTAGATCATAATTGTTCTTTATTTCATAAATTATGGTTTCATATTTTTAATTTTATAATTTCTGCATGCCATCTTGCCAGATTTAAATTGATGATCTATAATCCGAAATCGCCGAAGTTCCAACGAGTCCGGATTAAAGACTTTTGACTGTATAAGGTTGAAGACTTGAGCTGGGCTTTTTTCAGTAAATGTGTTTGTTTAATCATTAAAAATTTGTTCTGCTCACTAGTTAATAGAAAAGTACAATGCTTTTATCTCTGAGTTTTTTTTATCAATTATCTAAAACAAATTTTCATTACTTACGACTTCATTAGTTGTGGTATCAAACTGTAAGTCCATTCCCCCCTTTTTTAAGAAATAAAAAATACATTAATTAATTTGTTGGAAGTAGTTCTATTAATTAATGTTTTCAGCATGCATATTAGTTATTTTCTCATATATGTTTAAACAATGATCATGATTGTTTGCAACTCTTATATATGTGAACTGTGTTATGTGACCAAGAGGCTAAGAAATGTTTTATATCTATCAGAAGCAGTATATAAGTACTTTAAACTACTACAGCCAGTTTTATTTCTGCTTAGCAAAGGAAACAAAAAAGCAAGCATGGTCATCAGTATAATTGATTTAGCTCATTTGATCCAGCTAACTATTACCTTTTGTATTTATTTACAGTAAATTGTATAATTTATAGTTATTTCTAATCTCTGTGTTCAGTTTTCAGCATTGGAAAACCCTCTAAAGCTTCCTACTATGTTCAATATGAATTTTATCTTCATATCAGGGACAAAATAAAAATGCAATTTTTCTTAATTTTTTAATACAATGTGAATTTTGCTAATTATTCCTTAATGATAATCATTATTTAAGTAATTCATAAAATTAAATATTATAAAGCTAAAATTAATTTAATTATACAGTATAAAAAGGATTTAAGTTCTTAGCAAGTAGGGAGACAAATAATTTGATTTCTGATCAAGTAGAGAAGAATAACTGCATCTTAACTTTTCTTTGTGAAGATTCTCACTGCCTCAGCATGCGATTATAGAAGTCTTTGCATGGAGCAATAATGTCAAGGTTGCCTGGGCTGTGATTGGCTTATTATGTAGAAAAAAAGCAATTACTAATGATACTTTTTAATGCTAAAATATTACTCAAGAGATTTGCTTTTTTAATTTCAGTCATTATAGTATCAGTTATTGGTATTAATTTTGATTTGACAGCTAATAGTCAGCTTTTAATTTGACAGCTTAGTGTCAGTGTTGCGTAGAAATGATAACAGCTTTCAACTCACTTTTAGTTGATCACATCTTATAAATTAAAATCTTTGACATTTTATAATAATTAAAGACAATTTCATGTTCTATATGTCCTTATTTCCTTTTAGAATTTGATAATATTCTTTCATTTTAATTCATAAATTAATTTGAATATGTATGCTTGTGCAGGGAATTTGTTGCTGCTTTCATAGATTTCCCTAAAATTCTTGTAGCAGCTGTGAATGGGCCTGCTGTTGGAATTCCAGTCACACTATTGGGTTTGTGTGATATTGTTTATGCCTCGGAAAAGGTAATGTTTGTTTTAACATTTCTTCTTGATTTAATTAATCAAGATTTCTTATCTATCTTTCCTTCTTACATGAGTTTTACATTAGTTAATATACAATAAATGCCATTCATTTATTAATCTTTCTTAGAGCATTTATGAAGAACATATATAGTCTTCCCTCAGTTAGTGTTTAGATCTCCAATAACTAATTTTGTAATACAAAGCTTTGCTTTTTTTTTTTTTTTTTTTTTTAAATGGAGGGGGGGCACCACTTAGCACCAAACATAAACATTGGCACAAAATTTAATTAGATTTCAGCCCTAATAATTCATATAGTTTCTTAAAAGAGAATGAGTGTTTTATTAAATCCAGAGTAAAAGCACACTATTCCCCCTTCCCCTCAAAAAGCAAAAGTCAACGCAAAATAGTTTCACCAAATTATTTTCAAATAGCACAGGCAGTATAAAGCTACTGACTTCATTTAATGTTGAAAAAATATTTTGTCTTCTCTTGCAAATGATGCCACTTGAACTCAAGTAGGTAGAATTTTAGATGGTGTGTTTCGTTCCTGCACCCTGATATTCATTTTGCACTATTCCACAACTTTGCAACTTTTTGCTTATGATTCCTTGATCAGTAAAGTTGTATATGTGTTAATTTACAGGTATTGATATCCAGCAGCTGTTAATTTAACCACTTTATTTGGAATGATGTCATTGCATAGCTACTCTTGACACAATATAAATAGATACCATACATAACACAGGTCACACAATTAACAATTGGTGACCCATTAATACAAAAGAACTGATTTCTAACATTCTCTTAGGTGCATAAATAAAATAATGAGAAATGATTGTATTAGTTTTTTATTTAATGAAAACTACAATCTCACATTGCCTTCTTTAAAGTGTGGGGTATTTCTGGCCTAATAATGAAAAAACAAATGTTTATGATCAAAAAAAATTTTTTTTTTTTTTTTTGCAAAGTATTCTCCATTAAGAACAATATATTTTTGCATGTGCTTGAATCAATTTTCGATGCACTTTATCCACTCTGATTGAGGTAACTCCAAAACTTGCGTTTTGAATGCATCATCTGCTTCTTCAGGTGTCGCAAATGGCTGGCCATGTAATTTATTTTTGGTATGCAGGAATTTTAAAAAATGTCATTGGATGCCAAATCAGGCATCCAAATGACTGATGGCAGATGACCCATCAATTTGATGTTTTGGCCTGTCAAAAATTCCTTTGTTTGAGCCAATGTGTGAGAGCTCGCGTTGTCCATGATGAAGAATGATTCGCCTCCTATGCTTTTTTCGAATTTTATGATGACTCCTGGAAAACAAATGGTCATGTACCATTAGGAATTGACCGTCCTCCTTAGCTTTAACGCCACTGTTGCCACGTAATCACTAATGCCAAAGAAGCCGGCAACCATTCGCTTCGATGTGCTTTTTCTGCGAGCAACTTTTGTTGGATGTGGCTTGTCTTGGAAGACCCATACTGTTGACTGGTGTTTTGTTTTGGGCTTATATGCATAGATCCATGATTCTTTACCTCTAGATGTTATACACAGCCATTGATGCACCTTGAACATATTTTTCCAATATTTCCTTCCACCAATCAACATGAGCCTTCTTTTGAGCATTTTTCAGATTATGAGGGATTGAACACAAGCAGATCTTTTTTACGGCCAAATGTTCATGTAATACCTTATTGATGCTTGTCATACTAATGTCCAAAGATGCCTCAACCATATGGTATGTCACGTGATGATCTTCCTTTCAGTTCAAGCACAGCATCGATATTTTCTGGCATAACAACCGATTTTGGACAACCTTTATGAAATTTGTCCTGGAGCAAACATCAACAACAATTCATTATACCAGTTTTTTACAGTACTGTAGGATGATGCTTTATCGCTGTATAAAGAATTAAAAAAATATCAACCTTTCAACTGGAATTGTCTGCAGTTGCCTAGCAACACTTACTGTTGCCAAGGCCAGAAATATAAATAGCAATCTTCGTAATCGTCTTGGTAAGCCAGAAAGCATTGGGAACTATTCCACTCTTGATTGCGGTGTTGGAACTTACACTGGAAATGCTCTTAGCTGGTTGATTATGTTCATTTTAAACGTTTTTTAGTGTCTTAAAATGTCATATTTTGAGATGGATTTTCGATCTTGAGACTAGGAAAAGTCACATGGACTCAAGTCAGAAGAGTAAAGGGCCTGAGGAGCCACAGAGATATTTTTACATGCCAGAAACTCATTAATTGAAATTGCAGAGTGACAAAGTACATAGTCATGATGCAGCACCCAGTTGTCTTGATTCTTGGCCTCACATGCATGACCTTTCTCTAAAGTCTCTCAAAAACTTCTCAATAGAAGTGAGTTTCACTGTTTGGCTTGGAGACACAAACTTTTTACGTATGACTCCATGGCCATCTGAAAATAAAATCAGCATGTTTTTAATCTTTGACTTGTATATTCTTGCTTTTTTTGGTCTTGGTAGGTTCAAATATGTGACTCCTGGCTTTGGCACTTCATTTCTGGGTTGTACTTAAACACCCAATACTCTTCAGAAGTAATGACGTTTTCTACAAAATCATTTTCAGTCTGCTCAAATGAATCAAGGCAATTGACCCTTCTGTTGTTTTCTTTCTGTGGAAGTTTTTCAGGAACAAAATAAAGGAAACATTCAACAGACTTAAAATTTGTGTAATATTTACAGCTTTGTAGGATAGCAGCTTTTTCAGGATAGATACCGTATTTGACGGCATATAAGACACACTTTTTTTCCTAAATTTGGTCTCAAAAACATTACTTTCGTCTTATACGTGAAGGACACGGGTTAACTTTCAATACTGAATGCTATTTTTAGCCCGGATAAAAGTCTAGACACACATAACTTTTTCTACATCTGCCATAATTATTTTGCGCATACGTGAATTTATTTTTTATGTTTATTTTTATTTTTATTTATTTATTTATTTATTTTTTCAGAGTGTACACATCTAGTACTCTGACCAACAGCCTTTTGATTTATTGATGTAGTATTAGAATCTGAGATTGTCCTTATCTTGAGATCGTTATAGAGCAATTTTCTATAGAACAGTGCATGATCACATGTAATATCTAACTTATAAGCAGTATGTTCTGCGTGAGTCTTAGCTGGTTTATTCATCTAATCTTTTATATAATGAACATGTCTGATCCATAATATATAGAAATTATGGACAACCGTAACCTATTATTGGCTGCAACAAATAACTGGCAAAAAATTTAAACATGCTATCTAAAGTTGTTATTCAAAGTATTCTTCATTCTGTACACAGCTGTATAACGGCAGTTATTGCTATTAATGATGAATACTCACGATACTTATCTCTGCACACTCTATGCATCCAAACTATCTGAAACTTCATCCTTATATTGTAAAATATTTATAAAATAAACATGGTGGGTTTTTTATTTCCCATGATGTTTGCAGTTTTAATGAACAGTAGGGGGGGAATGTGAAATTTATTTTATTTTTCTTCCAGTTATCATGATATGATTTCCCATACATAAATGCTAAAGAAAAAGGTTTCCTTTCTTCACCAGTTACACAATCTCCTTCATTGCTAATGGCTACAGGATTTTGCTCTTTTTGATATAGTTTTCTCTCCATTACTCCATCCCTTTTTGTGGTGTTTTCCAAAATTATAGGTGTCTCCTGAAAATAGTTTTCCACATGTGAAAGATCAGTATTATTCTGTTTAACAAAAAAAAAAAAAAAAAAATGTTCTTTATTATAGTACTTTTGCTTTTGTATTGGGCAATATTAATTTTCTGTTAAAAATGTAGTGGAACCTCAGATCACAAATGCCTCACTTAATAAGCAAATTATCCGAACAAAAAAATGCCTCGGATGATGAATGGCGTTTCTGAGTTATGGACAATCAAGTTATCAACATGATTTTCAAATGTGTTTTGAGGTAACTTTTGTCATATAATTAACACTCAGGACTTACTTGCAGTAACAGAAACTCAGCCCAGAGAAGATAATGGCTAGAATGGGATTTTGAGCTCTTTTACACTTAGCACTTTTGTTATCTGTGACATTGTATTCGTACTGTGTGTTGTGTACTACACAACCAAGGGCTAAGAAATTAACAGTGAAGGTATGGAGAAGTTACTTGAGGACCATAAAAAAGGAACTCAACAAGAACTATAACCAAATGCAAATGCAACAACAAAACAGTTGTGGGAGAAATATTTTCTGAAACAGAGGGAAGAAAGGAAAATAATCCTGGATCTGTAATCCTAGAAAAATTTGCAAAATAGAAAAAGATGCAAAATATAATAAAGCAGCAAGTTACATCATAAGCACTTTCAGTGACAGTGTCATGTCATAGTTTAGAAATATTTTAAAACATTTTTGGCAACAAACTCACTGGACAAATTTTAAAATAAAATGAAGCTTAAGGTATCTCACGCCGAGTCAAATGGTCCTTAAAGATAAAAGAAAAAATAAAAACAAGATGCCTTCTATAATAGTTACTTATGAAAGGAGGTGCATCATCCAAATGATGACATCTTCACTATTTTCTACATATTCTGTCCACTGTCTTTTACAGATCAGGGCTGTGGAGTCGGTAAGGAAAATGACCGACTCCTGGAATTTTAATGACTCCGACTCCTTCATATATATGTAAACATATAAACATGGGTACAGCTTATTTTTTTTTTTAATATAAAAAGAAGTAGTAGATGCTACAGATAAGAATTGATGCATAGAAATTCTTTCGTATTAATTAGCATTTATTACGAAATGGAAAAACTGGCATTATTAATTTCTAAGAAACAGTAAAACTTCGGCAAGATCTTCTTTGTTAAAGGTCCATAGATCCGATTTGATAAACTTCAGAATGGAAAAGAGTCCAAGGTCTTCTTTGTTAGAGGACCATAGATCCGATTTGATAAACTTCAGAATTGAGAAGAGTCTTTCCACACTGACTAGGAAGAAGAGCTGTTACTGTTACGGCTACTTCCTTTAACTTTTCAAGATGATTTTTGTAAGTTCCAAAAGAGGTGTCTTGCAAGAGCAATCAAATTTATTTATTTCTTCAAAGGCCGTGTATAAATCTTGTTTGTATTTTTTCATTTTTATATCTAAAGGCTCTTGATTCTTTATTTTCATTCGCTTTGCCTTAGCCTTTTCAATATTATCCAAATATTTCTCAAAATCTAATTCATCAGTGGATGAAGATGATAGAGACTCAGTTGCAATATCTGCAGTTTGACTGTCCTGATTTGAATACTCCAGGTGTTCTGAGAATTATTTCATTCTTAATGAAAGTTTATAGATGGCTTTCTTTGCCTTTTTAATTTGTTTGTCATCCAACAAAATTCGACGTTTTGGATCTACATATATTGAACCCAGCGCGATCTTATTGTCTAGCAAACTAATTTCTCTTTTCTTCATTGAAGAAATGATTCCTTTGCAATAAACTCTCCATTTCAGAAAGAACAAACATCGCATTCTTCCAGTCTTGCCTCTTGTGAATTCTTCAGATTATAGCTTTTTGGCGGCTATATATAGTGTTGAAAGAAGGATTTCCAGTTCTGCAAGATCATTCCACTGTCTTTCTGTTAGTGAAAGGTTATTTAGATCTTCTGAAAAAGTTCTTAATCCTAACAATAACTATATCATCAAATATGTACTTCATTGTGTTGCTCCTTTTCGTGCTGGCTTCCTAAGAATAGCATCAATTTTTGGAATTCTTGCTGCTTATCTCAATTCACCAATGAGATTAGTAACTAAATGAATCAGTTTAACTTTTTCGCGATGGCGCACCTTTGTTTAAGACGCTCGTGCGGTACGGAAGAGAATCGAAGGCAGTCACCGTACAGGATGGAGGTTTGCATCGCTGAGCCTAATTTTGTAACAAAAATCAGAAAAACAAAAGTTTCGCTTCTAGCATCGTAATTTTTGGTATCATTTTAGATTATTATTTGAGCTCTTATATATGTTAAAATTAGCCCTTAAAACATTTTTTTCTTTATTTTACATGAAAATATACTTAAAAAATTGCTTATCTTCTAAAATAATTTTCAGAAGCGCTATTCAAATTATTGCAAAGTTTTAATTGAAAAAATCCATCAATTAAGTTTAAAATTAATAAAAAGAACACAATAAAGACTATTTACAGTAAGAAGTAACAAAATTTAAAATGAAAACGAGTGTGGTAAATCGAAAAGCACAGAGAAGTATCACTTTGTAACTTAGAAAAAATATCACTTTTTAACTCTTTAGAAAATGAATCAATACTCTCATTTGCGTTAGTTAAATGGTTCACTAACCATACTAGGGTATTCTTCCTCTGATAAATAGCGCCTTCCCGCCATAATAGACTGGAGGTGAGGCTTTCCTAAATAAAAAGAGAAGGACACGAAAATATATCTGAAGGCAATGCAAAACGTAAAAAAACTCCGCACATACTAACACTAAAAGGCCGTACCATAGTAAAGGAAAAAAATAGAATAAAAAAAGGAATTTGATATAAATTAAACATGCGAATGTTTTCATTAGCACGCTGCGATTTAAAGAGCTCACCTCTGTTTACGCTTTCCCTCTGCCCCCCCCAACCCTTGCAACAGATGATGAGTAAAATATCAAAGTCAAGCAGAATGTATCAAACTCAAGGTCAGGAACCTAAAACTGTGGTTCGTTTCAAAAGTAATGGACATAGGATGCCATCTAGTGGCCTTCAGAAAAACGTTCCACCTTAAAATGCGTATACGCATCACCCGTCCTCTGAATGCAATCTTTACTAATGCGTGGATGGGATGCCCGGCTGTAAGAGACGTTCTTAGGGAATGTGTATATGGGACGCCCATCCTGAAAGGGTTAATCAATGATGGCAAATACCACATCTATCCTACTCCCTTATATTTATTTACTAATATGTCAATAAAATAGAAAATAACTGTTTATTAATGTATATAGTTCATAAATAAAAATATTAACTCAGTTTGTAATTATTTTTTTTTCAATTCACTTTAATTTCATTTCAAATTCAAACTGTCCAACAAAAACTGGAGTCAGAGTCGATGTGTTTTTTAGCGACTCCAACTCCGATTCCTTTTACCCAAAAATCTACCCGACTCCACAGCCCTGATACAGATACAGTAAAAATTAAATTTTCATCTATTTTATCTGGTCAATATTATATTTCATTTCTACCTGTAATGATTTCCATTGGTTTTGCTTTAGAAACTTGTACACATAATAACCATTGTAAAGTTTTAAGTAAGCCATCATGCATGCTGCAAGAAAAAGTTAATCCATTTTACATTAATTTATATGAGAAAATTGCTTTGGTTGACAAATGGCCTTCAGGCATGAATTAAATTCATGAACCAAGTTTTCACTGTATGTAGAAGCTATAACCATTTATAATATCAATGACAATAAAAAATGTGAATTAAAAACATGACTTGATGAAACATGATAAATTATCAAAGTTTCTTTTACATATGAAGCAGTGAATTCTGTTCTGTAAATTAAGATTTGATGGTTATTATATCAATAGTAAATTTAATTACCAGGTTGTTTTGAGGGTTGGGAGAGCAATATATATGATGGAAGGTGACATTTATAGGTATAGAAATTTTTTTATTATGTTATTCATTATGACTTATCTCCCAATTCTTTCACTTATCAATTCATTAGCATATAATATAATATATGCTAATGAATTGATAGTGTGCAAGGAAGCTTTTTTTAAATTATGTATGATACCTCATTGCTAGTTTTAATGGGTACTTAAAAAGTGTTTAATCCTATCTTTATACTCTTTTTGTGTTGTAATGCTACATTGATTATATTTTGCCCTGTGTATTTTACTGCATTTCAGGTGGTGCATCAGTATAATATGCACTTAATATATTTTTAAAGCTTATAATTTTATAAATTGCAGGCCACATTCTATACACCTTTTAGCTTGCTGGGGCAATCTCCAGAAGCATGTTGTACTTACACATTCCCCAAAATCATGGGTTATACAAAGGTTTGTTCACTGTCATTTTATTTTTTATGAAACATTCATTTAGAAAAAAAAATTTTAATTTATTAATATTGTTTAAATGTTATGACCATACTTTTTTACATTATTTTTATTGTTTAACCATTGCTTGTAACTGTAGAATAAATGTCTTCAAATACTATATCATATCAAGTTTCTTAATTAATAATTTAACTTAACCATACAGTACCTTCTTAATTAAATACACAAGATGCAGTTAAGTGTAATGTTGGGATGCATAATTTCTTTTTATTACTTTGCATGCAATAATTATTTAAAAAACTTATATTTTCCATCTCATTCATTCCAAAACTTGCCTGTGTTGGAAAGTAATCAAAATGTCATAATTGTATTCATTGCTTAAAATGATATCAGGCATTAGAATTTCTTGAAATCCTCATAAATTCCCAAAAATAGTGTAATGCAAGCTTCATGTGTTGGAAAATAACAATTAAAATATCATAAATATACACTGCTGGCCACCGTAAATGCAACACCCTGAAGGAAGCATGCAAATAACATGAAATTTACAACATGCATTAGTGGGGGTGAGATATGCAAATGATTAGAATTTCAGTGCAGACGCACATCACGTGCGCCTGTGGCGCCAAAGCACTATGGAGTTTTCGACGATTTCAAGTTCGGAAATTGTGGTTTTCTTATGGTTTTTTTCAAAAAAAACCTCTCAATTATGCCTTGTAGTAAACAGTGATCATCATTTGATCAAGTATCCGAGTTCAACAGAGGAAGGATAGTGGCCTACCGAGAGTGTGGATTATCTTTCAGGGAAATCGTAGTCGTGTTGGACGAAACCAAACAACTGTAATGCGGATATGTGACTGTTGGATGCAGAAGGGTATGACAGACTAACGTGTTCGATCGCATCCACCTCAGTGCACCACTTCATGTGATGACAGGAACATTGTGCGCATGGCAGTGACGGATCGCTGAGTCACATCGCGAACCATACCACAGCACATTCAGTCTGTAACGCATCATCCAGTGTCTGCGTGTACCATTCAACGCCGTTTACAGCAGAGTGGTCTGTCCACAAGACGTCCATTGCTTCGTCTACCCTTGATGCAGAACCACAGATGTCTCTGCTGCCAATAATGCGATGAAAAAAGGGTGTGGACTGCAGAATGGAATGAAGTCTTTACTGACGAGTCGCGCTTCTGTCTGCAACACCATGATGGTCGGATTCTAGTCTGGAGACACCATGGAGAGAGGATGGAGAGCATTATGCAACGCCACACTGGTCCTGCACCGGGTATTATGGTAAGGTCATAGTTGGATATCACTCTCGCACTCCTCTAATACGCATTGCCGGTACTTTAAACAGCCACTCTAATCTCGAAGTGTTGGAGCCGTTGTCCGGCTCGCTCTTCGGATCTTCGCTGATGAAATATTGGTCCCTGTTTGCGAACGATGACCCAGATTCATCCCAAGCTGCCACACCAGATCAACTTTGGCAACATTGAAGCTGCTGGTTGCTTACCCCGAAACACATCCAATCTCTTTGAATCAATCCAAGCCGTGTGCGCGGTGATCTCCAACATGGTGGTCTACTCTGGCTACTGATTCTGGAAGGGAACCACACACAAGTCTATAAATTTAATCATTTGATACTTGGTCAACATGTTATCTACTAAATAAATTTTGTTGTGATATCTCTTGTCTTTCTTGGTGTTGCAATGTGGGTGGCCAGCAGTGTGTTTATTGCTTAAGGTGATTTAAAATTTTCAGGAAATTCACAGAAAGCTAAAATTTCTTATAATTGCAGGCAAATGAGATTTTATTATTTAATAAAAAATTCACTGCATCTGAAGCAAAAAGCATTGGCCTTGTATCAGAAGTCTTTCAACATGAAAAATTCATGGATGAAGTGTACAAGCAACTTGCATTCCTTCCTGATGCATCAAAACAGGTATTTAGGTTTTTACCTTTCAGATTTACCAGCATTTTTATATCATGTAATTTTGTCTGTAATGAACTAATTTTTAACCCTGTCAGCATTATGGATGGAAAATTCCGTATAGAAGGGTGACTATCGTATACATTACACACGAAAATTTCTGCCATCTTTTAGTGTATCCAATTCTGGGTTTGATATATATTGAAAGAAAAGAAATCAAAGTATAATGCGAGAAAGTTTTTTTTTTTTTTTTAAATTATAATTAAGAAAATAAAATACCATTTATTCATGACATTTTGAGGAACTTGGAAATTTCAGGGCTAAACCTATAATGCTCAAAGGTTTAAATAAACATGGCTCTTTCCTAAAATGTTGAACAATTTTATAATTAGTAATGTAGCAAAAGCATGACATTCTACTGGCATTCATCTAACTGCAATATTTAACAAGATTTTGTAACAAAAAAATTAGGCAAATTAGAGACTTATTAGGTTAGGTTATTCGAATGCCTTTGTGAAGGACTTTCTGAGGGAAACTTGAATAACAAATAATGTGACTGCTTTTATTAATTTAAAAACACAAATTTCTGTGTTTGATGTAGCTTTTCTACAGTGAATTGCATTTTTTATGTGCTCAGTTATTCGAAATTTTCGTATGTCCAGCATTTATCATTCCCAAGCTTCCACATTGTTGAGATTTTACTGTATATTATACAATTACCACTTGATGACATAGAAGTACTTCTTTGTTACCAGTTTGTTAGAATTGTTATTTATTTATTTCTGTTCAATAATAATAGCAGTCTAAAATGGTTACAATTTATAATAGTGTAATAGCATTTCTTTGTTGATGCATTTTTGTAACAAGGTATACAAGATTATTCAAATGGTTTGACCTGATTTGAGATTGCTTTATTTTATAAATTCATAAGCATTACTCCCCCCCCCAGGAATGGAAGGAAAATTATTCTTATGTTATTTATGTATCTTCTGTGAGATGTTATTTTGAAGTTTACAAAAATATGAATAAACCCATTTCTACTTCTTATTTATCCAGCTAGGTGAATTGCTGCATACACCTTTTCTATGTCAGATTCCCACATCAAATTCATCCTAGCACCCCCTCCTTGGTGAATGTTTCTTTTGCTATTTTATTGAATGTTTATATGGGTGACTAGAAAAATGTGCTGTAAATTTTGGTGCAAATTTTGTAAAAGTGTCAAAACTCCAAATATACAGCATGAGCTCAAATTTAAGCAAATGGACTGGCTGCTTGGATAATTTTACGTTTTTCTTTTTCATTTGTAATGTAAATGAGAGCCAGTTTCCCTTATTAAGTACCCCATGAAGGCATTCCTTCTCTTAGGCAGATAGCCCTTGGCCAGATAGATACCAGTATTTTAATCATTTCAGGAATGACTACATAGCAGCTGAAGGTTATTCTGGATGTTCCTTGAGCAGAGCAAACTCAAATACATTGGAGAAATGCATGAAAAGTATCCTGAAAAATTGTTGCTTGTGTATTTGAATACAACAAAGCACATAGAGTCATTTGTTTAAGGAAGAGATACTTTCATGCAGAACTGTTTAATATTTACATTATGTGCTGAGAAAATCATGAAAACACCTATGCAGCCACTGCCTGTCACTGGGATTCACATCCATATCAAACACAATATTCACCATTTTTACCTGATTGGACAGGTTGAAAACGAAGAAACACTGTAATAAGAAAATAGAAATTTGATGAATCAGATGAATTGATTGTGAAATAAATTACTGATAAATCTGTACATCAAATGTATTTGCCATGCACTCTTTTTGACTTCCTTGTACAAAGTAAAGGAAGTATTGTAATTACGAAAATTTTCGGGTATCATATTTCAACGAATATATCCATTTTGACCGCTATTGAATGCAATTTTATAATGTTTTTGTGCGACATCTGTACGTAAGGACAGAATAGAGGACTTAAAATGGTGGGTTGGCGGAAACCCAAAGTGGGTTGCAAAAAGATTTATTTGTGATCTTTGTACTTATCTCACATAACTCATAAACGAGTAGCCTCAGAATGTTGAAATTTTGTATATAGGACTTCTATAACATGTAATTGTGCACCCCACATTTTGGTTGCAATTGGCCACATCAAAAGTATATAAATATATATATTTAGGATGTAGTAGTATTTGTGAACTATAGGAACAGTCCTGTTGATGATAACGGTAGTGATATTTAGTAATTTAATAGTGAAAACATGCAAACATAATTAATACAAAGATAACACATAAAAAGAAATAAGAAAAAAGGTCTGTCCATGACATCATAAAACAGAATAACACCATATTAAGCGGAATCACAGCATAAAAAGAATTCAGAGTTCTTTTGGTTTTTCTAACTTCATCATCCTTCTTGTGTAGTGTCTCGTCTGCCGAAAGTGATCACATGATCTTGCTGGTGAGCGCATTGCTATTATTACGTATAAAAAGAAACATATCCTCATATTATCATTCTGCAGCACCAGACGTCTACGACTGGTTGAAGAAGACAAGAAATCTGAAAAGAAAAAGGAAAAAGAAGCAGAAAAGTGAGGTGAAAAAATCTGTCTGTGGTGGCAGATGTTCAGTTTGTGCACTACCATTTCATCTTATCAGGAGATGTTGACATTATGGTAGGGCCCTCATGCCGTCCTATGTTTCATACTTCATACTGATCAGATGGATTAACTTTCGTTATCTCATAAGGACCGAAGAATTTGGGACGGAGTTTCCATCCTGGCCCAAACTGGGTGTGTTGTATTGCCACTTGGTCTCTGAGCATGTATTTACAGGCAGGTTTGAAATGCTTCTTATACTATTGTGTACTTTCTTTCTGTGAATGGGGTATGTTCTGTTGAGCTTCCATATGCAAGTTTTTTTCATCATGCCGCTGGGTCTCTAATTTAACTTTCTTTAAGTCCTTTTAAATTTTCTTAGTTTATGTTTACAGGTCCTTTTCTTGCCGTTCTTTGGGTGTGAAGCAGCTAAAGAGTATAAAACAGTAATTTTTACCCCAGATATTTCGCATTTTTTGTTGCCTCAACAGCTTTAATTGCATATTTTGTCTGTATGTAACTTACTGTAGCATTTTGATATATACGGGATAAATTTAGAGTTATCTGAGATGCTTTTGGAAAAAATTCAGCAATTGGAGAATTTATAGTATCGACTGGAACGCCAGAGACAAATAATTTCCTTAGATTATATCTCTTTTCGTACTGGTCCTTTGCTGCTTTTGGTCTATTTTTGCTTTTCACACCAGCAAAATCTACTGTAACAAGCTGACTTCGCAATTTTTTCTCCTGCAAGATCTTGTGATTTTCCTCAGCTTTAGCTTTTCTAGTAAATTCTAAAAATGCAAATAATTCTTTGTGTTTCTCTGCAACTTTTTCCGGCATGGTAACAATCCTAAAATATCAGAAGGCAAAGCTTTGATTTCTTCTGTAGTGAGTTAAGTTTCACAGATAAAGGATTCTAGCATCTCTTGCTTCATGATCAAGAGCTTTCTGTAAAAAACTGTTTCCAGTTTTTGGAGTCTTTTCTGCCTTCAGAGTTTTCTCTATATTCTTTTCTTTGCGCGTTTTTGCACTTTTAGCGGGTGTTTTCTCTTTCGCTTGTTCAGCTCCTTTTTGTAAACCTTGTTTTAACTGATTCAGTTTATTTTCACTTCTTCATAATTCTGCAAACTTTGTTCATTATCATCATGAGCATCATTAGCTTCATGATTGTCATCATCATTATCTTTGTCACTGTCGTCTTCATCATCCAAATCCAATTCCAAATCATCATCATCATCCTTAACTGTTTTCTTTAACTGATTTTCATATTCCTTTCATTCTTTTTCATAGCAGTATTAACTTTATGGGATTTCTAAGAAGTAACATTATGTTGAACTTCCTCGCAAATTTCAGAGTTCGAGATGTGTGAAATGTCAACTGGAAAGGGTTGATCATCAGTAACATTAGGAATGTTAACAAAAATTTCATCATCATTACTGTTGCAGAAATTAATACCATCTTTATCAAATATAAATTGAGTTTGTTGCAAAAAGTCAATTCCTATAATTGCATCAAAATTAATCATGTCTCTTTTATAGCAGTATTAACTTTATGGGGTTTGTAAGAAATAGCATTATGTTGAACTTCCTCGCAAGTTTCGGAGTTCGAGATATGTGAAAGGTCAACTGGAAAGGGTTGATCATTGGTAACATAAAGAATGTTAACAAAAATTTCATCATCATTACTGTAGCAGAAATTAATACCATCTTTATCAAATGTAAATTGAGTTTGTTGCAAAAAGTCAATTCCAATAATTGCATCAAATGTAATCATGTCATCTTTTGCTACATGGATTTTAAGTAAAATAGTGTTTTGAATTTCAAGGGAGTCTTCAAGGAATCTGATGCTTTGAACTGTGTCTCGGCTAATTCCTGAGAATTCTGAAGGGATGTAATGGTGGAGAACCAATCTTGCGGTATGTTTTTTCATTAATAAACATGGCTTGTGACCCAGTGTCACAAAGTGCGGTTAACAGGGTTCCTGCAAGTTGAATATCATCATGCATAGGATGTTTGGAAAAAATTTAAGCAGAAAGTGTGTTTGCAGTTCTATCAGGTGTAGAATGTTTAAGAGCAGATTCCATGGTAGAATTACGAGGATTTACTGGGCAGTTGGCAAGAACATGACCATAATTTTTGCAGCCATAACAAAATTTGCCATTTGATTTATTTGAACAATTGACGTTTTTATGCCCTTTTAAACCACAAGAATAGCATACTGGTTGCCTGTTTAATGTACGTTTATTATCAAGTTTAACATTGTGAAGGGAATTATGAAATTTCTTTTGAGTATTTTGCCTCAAATGTTTTGAAATGCTAGAGTTTTTCATAAATTTTCAGTTTTTTGTTGTATTCAGGAATGGATTTACCAGACGCATAAAATTATTTTGCTGTTTGATGAATCAGGAATACCATTTATAA